TGGAGAGCCCCATGCGGGGCTCAAGCTCACAAACTGTGAGATCTGGACCTGAGCCAAAACCAAGAGTTGGTTTCTTAACTGAGTGAGTCACCCAGGCGCCTCCAAGTTTACCTTTCATTCTAGGTGTAGAAATGGTATTTCTCAGATACTTGATTTCTGATTTGATAGACTAAGATGCTTATAAGATTCTCTTATACAAAAGTAGTTGTGTTAACAAAATTAATTTTCCTCAGGAATGTTGACAATAAAAGATCTCAATAATTGACAAATCTTCAAGCCCACCAGCGTCTAAGAATCCTTGAGATTTGACCTGAGGGACTTTTAAGTGGATATATTAGGCTAAGTTATTTGAAAGATGTTTTATAATCAATCAAAACGTGGTCACTTCTGAAATACAATTCCTTAAAAAAGGTCTACATTTTCTGTTGAGCAAAGCTGAAATGAGGTTATAATAGACAGCGGTCCTGAGAACTACTTCAAAATCACTAGTCTGTCGTTGAGTCCTTTCACAGAATGGTTAAGTTCCCTTTAAGAGTTTCATCATACATTTTTATTGACTTACTCTGAGGAATAAATCTGACTTAAAATCCTCATTCTGAGGAAAATTCTTACTCTATTTGGAAATAACATCTAGGGAGTTAAATTAAGTTCTATAAGGTTAGACCTATAGTTAGGAGTATGAAAACACCCTTTTTTAAACTTTTAATTTCAGGATAGTTTTTGGTATACAAAAATATTGCAAGAATAGAATTTCTATATGCACCTCACCTAGTTTCACTACTGTTGACTTCTTACATTGCTACAGATTTGTCATAACTAACATTAGTACATTGCCATTAACTACATTCCACACTTCAGATTTTTTTGGCTTTTTCTTCATATCCTTTTTGTCTCCAGGGCACATTACATTTAGTCATCATGGCTCTTTAATCTTAGACTTTTTTATCTTGGATGACCTTGACAATTTTAAGGTATACTGGTCAGGTACTTTGTAGAATGTCCCTCAATTGGAGTCTTCTGAGGTTTTTCTCCTGGTTAGACTGGGGTTATAGGATTTGGGGAGGAAGAACACAAAGGTGCCATTTCACTACACCTTGTCAAAGATTCACGTTCTAAGCGTGACCTATCACAGGCATCAGTTTTCATGATCTTGCCAACATAGAGTTTGCTAAGTGACTATAAATTTCCTTTTATTTCTTTCTATATCATACTTTTTTGAAGCAAGTTACTAAGCATGGCCCACATTGAAGAAGCAGGAAGTTCCATCTTCTTGAGGAATAGTAGCTACATAAATCATTTGTAATTCTGTGTAGATGTGCCACTTCTCCCTTACTTATTTAATCTTTTATATCAATATGGACGCCTAAAGTTTTATTTTTTGGCTTATAATCCTATATTACATTATTTTGTTGCTCCCACTGTTTTTGGTTTTTATGCCACTTCCTTACTTTCTGGTATTACAAGATGTCCCAGACCTAGAATCAGCCATTTCTCCAAAGAGCCCTCGTTCCTTTTATTGGAGAATGGTATTAGAAACCAAACTTGTTTCTTTTTATTTTTTATTTTTGAGAGAGTATGAGCAGGACAAGGGCAGAGAGAGAGGGGGACGGAGGATCTGAAGTGGGTTTTGCGCTGTCAGCAGAGAGCCCAGTGTGGGGCTTGAACTCCCAAACTGTGAGATCATGATCTGAGCCAAAGGCAGGTGCTTAACTGACTGAGCCACCAGTCCCCTCAGAAACCAAGCTTTTGTTTTTTTTTTTTTTTAAATATGAAATTTATTGTCAAATTGGTTTCCATACAAAGATTGAATGCTGGGTTGTGCCCGTTGTTACCAAGTGTTGGCTTCCAGGCCCTTTCAGCAGAGGGAGCTGTGTACCAACCCATATTCATCTTCCCCAACCGAAATTCTGTATCCACTTTCCCCTTCCCTCAGCCTTTGGCAACCACAATTCTACTGTGTCTGAATTCGACTGCTCTAAGGAGTCTTGCAAGTGGAGTCATATGTCCTTCTATGGCTGGCTTGTTTCACTTATAATGCCCTCAAGGCTCATGCATGTAGTAGTAGATGTCACAATTTCCTTCCTTTTTAAGGCTGAATAATATTCCATTGTATGTAACTATTGCATTTTATTCTTTCATTGGTCAGTGGACACTTGGGTTGCTTTTCACATTTTGGCTATTGTAAATAATACTGTGAATATAGGTGTATAAATGTGTTTTGAGTCCCTGCTTTCACTTTTGACTACAGTATACCCAGAAAGGGAATTGCTCTATTACGTCTTAATTTTAATTTTTTCAGGAACCATCACACTGTTCCACAGTGGCTGCACTGCTACCAACAATGCACAAGGGGTTCTAATTTCTCCACAAGTTAATTTTGATGAAGTCCAACCTCTGTTATTTTTTGTTGTTAACTGTGCTTTTGGGGTCTTACCTAAATTTTTGCCAAATAGTTGTGATGAATTTTTTCCTCTTTTTTTCCTATGAGTTCTAGTTCTAGCTCATTTGTTTAGATCTTTGAACAATTTTGAGTTAATTTGTGTATGTTATGTAGTAGAGGCCCCACTTTTTTTTTTTTTTTTTTGGCATGTGGACATCCACTTTTTGTCAACAAATTTGTTGAGAAGACTGTCCTTTAAGCCCCTTTTGGTCTTGGCACCCATCTCAAAAATCTTTAGTCCATATATGTGAAGGTTTATTTCTAAGTTCTTTCACTTCATTGGTCTAGGTCTTTATGCCAGTACCATGTTGTTTTGATCACTGTAGCTTTGTAGTGAGTTTTGACTTCAGAAGTGAGACCTCCAACTTTGTTCTTTTTCAAGATTGTTTTGGCTATTTGGGTGTCCCCTGAGATTCCATATGAATTTAAGACAAATGCTTCTATTTCTGCAAAAAATATGGGTATTTTTGATACGGATACTTGGAATCTGTAGATGGTTTTGGGTAGTATTGACATCCAATTCATAAACATGGAGTGTCCTTCTATTTGTTGGTATCTTTAATTTCTTTAGGCAGTGTTGTATAGTCTTCAGTGTACAAGTCTTCTGCCTCTGGTTGTTTAGTCCTAAGAATGGTATTCTTGTTGCTACTGTGAATAGTGGAAAGAACAGTTTTTAAGGAAGACAGACCTATGAAGTCAAGCCTTTCATGACTTCGTTTCCTTGCTTTTGTTGACAGCTACACTAATAACAGATCGTTGGAGCTTTGTTTCAAAAAGAGAAAGGGCTGGGGCGCCTGGGTGGCTCAGTTGGCTGTGCGTCAGACTTCGGCTTAGGTGGTGATTTCACGGATCATGAGTTTGAGCCCTGCATCTGTGGTCAGCACAGAGCCTGCTTCAGATCCTCTGTCCCCCCGCCTCTCTCTGCCCCTCCCCTGCTTGAGTGCGTTCTCTCTAAAAAAATAAAACATGAAAAAAATGCTAAATAGCTTATGTGTACGTCTCAGTAAAATCTCAGTGGCTAATTATTCTTCCTCATATTCCATGTACAGAGCTGCCTCTTTTCAATTTAATTCAAAACTAATTATAAATAACTTTTGCTAGTTTAGGATAATTCCCCATATTATCTGTAGCACTTAGAACAGTGCTGAAAACATGTAGGTGGCCAAAAATAAGACGAATGAAGAACCACACACACACACACACACACACACACACACACAGAAATATTTAAAGGGAAAAAAACCAGTCAACAACCTAGGCAAGACTATTAGATTTTATTCTTTCCTAGTACTCTTATAGCTCAACTTCACCATGTAACAAGCCAGACTTCCCGAATAACAACTCTTTCCCAGGCTATAACCCTTCTCAGGAGACAGAATTTATCAAGTATCATGGTTCCAGGATGTTTTCACCCCAGAATTCTAAACCAGTTACAGAATCGTATCTTCTTAGGTCTTAATTGGAATCAAACAATCTAGGCACATGTAACATAATCAAAATAGCATATACCATTTCTTTGCTTCCCTTGTGGAAAGCACATTCCTCTTTTCCCCCAAAGGGTTTGTTATGAAGAGATGTTTGAGTGTCACGTTTTCCAAGAAACCTGTCTACCAGTTCAAATTCTTGGCTCAGAATAAGGTATCGCTTATTCAAGAAAATTTAATAAATATTCTGATCTAATTGTTCTCAGACATGGACAAATTTGTTTTACACGCAACTTAGCTTTGCTTTCAATAACTACTTGCAAAAGTCAAACCCTATCTTTAAAATATCTTACAATTTTCCTTAGGACTTGGGAGAGCAGGGAAGGATGAGGAAGGGAGTTGGCTTATTTTTTAGTAGGACATTCTGAAAAGGGCAGATATTTACTTTTGAAGTCATTAAGTGGATAAACTGTCAAGTGTTTCTCTTGTTCTGATATTGAAAACATTTATAGCCCAGGGCCTTTCTGGTCCTGAAACTATAATAAATTATAATATTGTTTTAAGTACATTCAAAATTTATATTACTCTTTAATTTCTTTTCCCTGAGTTTGGGTTCACAGTTTGGTAGAGATACTTGAAAGAGGTAGTTAGTGGGGGTGAAGAGGAAACAATGTTTATGTCTAGCAGCACCCAGGGAAAATATATAATATCTATTATTTTGATCTCAGGTAACATTTATCTTTCCTCCTTGAATCTGCACATTAATAGAGGGAGATAATCATTTTCCTTCTCTTATCTGTTGGACTCTCTCTCCTATTATATTTACCCCAGTATTATTATCACTATTCATAAAAATGAATAGCCCCTCCAAAGACAAGCTACAGAATTAAGCCTTCAAGGTGGGATTGTTTAGATTTAGAAGAGAGGGGCTCAACTGAGTAACTTTTATTCATACAGTCATTAGGGAAAATGAGCAAACTTTCCAGGACCCCCAACTACTCACTGCCTTTTCTCCCTGGACCTGGTTTATTTAAATCATTGCTATCAACTCTGGAGTTGATTCTAAGGTCTGGGTTCTAGGAAATCTTGACATCTAACACAGGTACAGACACTGGTCCAGGCCTTGGCTTCCAGTCTTACGATGGGCTGGCGGAATACTGTTTCATCAGATGCTCATGGCAGGGATTGCAAACTCGCTCAGGCTTGATACTTGAGGGAAGAGGCAGTTCATTTGTTGAGCAGGCATCACAGAACGTTCCTCTGCAGTTCTTACACATATTCTACAAGGAGAAGAGGAGGTTAGGTGGGGGATAGAGGAGCAGGGCATATAGATGCATGGAATAGAAAAGGCCAAATATGGTAAGTGCTCAATACCTAATTATTGACTAATGTCTGCTATGTGCCAGATAGTATCTGACCAAACACAGTTTCTGTCTACAAGGAAGCCTACTGTCTAGTTCTTAGATCTAAATGAAGAGAAGCAGTGCCACAGAATTCAAAAGAACAAATAATACACAAATTGCTTACTTTTAGAATGTTCCCACCCATTATATTCACTTTTATGTGGGCTAATTCTAAAATTAGTTTGCAAGTACTTAAGAATACTCCAAATAAGGCAGGCAGGCAGTGAGTGACCTAGCCATGGACTGGGTAGCGGTAGCCAGCCTAGGATTAAAAAACTTGCTGAGCATGAAGTGAAAGTAGAATTCTTAATACCCTGATGTGCTTAATGCTTCCCTGTAATACTCTACAGACATATCTTTTGGGATATCAGCGCAGCAGGAGGACAGCTTCCCTGCATCCTCTTTATAGGGAAATCAGTCTCTTTATTAAGCATTTTGAATATTTAGTGGTCATGCAATGGGACAGCACGTGGGTCATTATGGCAGTGTCACTGGTAAGGCTGTGTGATAGGGTGGCACACACATAGCTCCAAGGGTCCCTAGTAAAGGCTGTGAAGAGTAATTCCCCCCGTTAATAATGCTGCTTTCTCCCAAACAATTCACCTTCCTGAGGATGCAGCAGAGGTAGGGGGTCACTTTTATTTGAAAGCCCGAGAGGGGGGCGCCTGGGTGGCGCAGTCGGTTAAGCGTCCGACTTCAGCCAGGTCACGATCTCACGGTCCGTGAGTTCGAGCCCCGCGTCGGGCTCTGGGCTGATGGCTCAGAGCCTGGAGCCTGTTTCCGATTCTGTGTCTCCCTCTCTCTCTGCCCCTCCCCCATTCATGCTCTGTCTCTCTCTGTCCCAAAAATAAATAAACGTTGAAAGCCCGAGAGGAATTTTCCTCTGACATATTGTAGTTACTGTGCAGAATTAGAAAAGCCAGAATTAGATTCTCTTCCAGAAACAGACATTATTTCTGTAATTCCAACTCTATAAAGGCAGTTCATCTTTATCTGATTCCGTTAAGACTAGGTCATATTATAGTTTTGCTTGTTAAAATTCAGCATGATCACAAAGGGTGGCATAGAGGCTGCAAAGGCAGAATTCGGCACATTTCCTCATCTCTTCCAAGCACTTGTTTCTTACAGTCATTTGCCCATTTCTTGAACATCTATGAACTGGGGACCACATGACATGCGGGGTGGGGGGGTGGATATTACTATGAGCAGGTCAAAGACCTGGCTATCAGAACACTTGCTGTATCTGAACACTTCCTTCACTCTGCCTACTCTAGCAAACTGGGGAAGCGCTCAAGCAGAGACCCTTGAGGACCCGAGGGGAAAACAAGTGGTTTTGGTGGAGAGAGCTCATTTCCCTCTCGGAGGCTGATTCTCCAAATAATTCAAAGAATCTCCCTTCCCCAAAACTGATTTGTTCTAAGCAGGATGGAGTACTGGAAGAGTACAGACTTTGGGGCCAAAGTCAGGCTGCAGCTGGGCCTTGCCACTTATGACTTGAGTAACTTTGAGAAATGTGCTTCACATCTCTGAGCCCAAGGTTCATCTACAAAATGATGTCACAGAGGAGATAAGCTTTACAACAGGGACGTGGTCTACGCTTTGCTCATTACTCTTTCTCCAGCACATGAGATAGCACATTCTACACAGCAGGCACTCAATAAACATTTATAAATTTGTTTTAAATTCTTTATATTTGTGTTCATGGGGATTTACTGACATGACATACTATGACTGAAAAAAATGGGTACACAATAAATGCTTGCTCCTTTTGCTTTTTCTCCCCACTCTGCCCTCTACACAGCAAAGTCCCTGTTACTGAAAGGGACTAGTGGTGTAACGGACATCCTGGTGAAGAACCTGTTTGGTTCTCAGCATCGTTACCTTTGCAAGGCGGCCGTCTTGCTGGCACAGCTGACATATCTGTGGCTTTGCGGAGAGCAGCGGCTGGTCCTAAACCACATATTGAGCCAGTTAGTTTCTCTTGGTCTCAGAAACATGAATACTTTCAGAATACTCATTTTTTTTAAGTTACAAAATTAATACAACCACGCTACAGGCTATCTGGAAACTAAAGAAACAAATTGTATACGGTCCTCACGCCTTAATACAACTCTACTAATCCTATCACTATCCTTGGAGCTCTTTTCACTTTTATAATAAAGTAATGTGATTTCAGTTATAAAAAGAAAATTCAAGTATACAAGTATGAAGTCAGAAGTTTTAAAAAGCCCCATCCCTCTTTTCCTATCATATCATCAGGAATAGAAAGCAATACTCTATTTTTCTTCTTTTTTCTTTTTTTTAAATTCCTAACAGATAAATGAAAGGGGTGACTCAGTCATAGCAGCCCGTCTTTCTCATGGGTTGTCATATCCTATTATATATGCAAAGTATCTTACAACCATTTATATTTGTTTATTTCCAAGTGAGCAAGAAGTATTTTTTCTGTTTTATAGAAGAGAAAACTAAGCGAAGAGGAGGTACTCTCTTAGGTCAAAGAGAATTTCTAAGAAGTGAGACGTGCCATTTCCTTAGTAAATTGCTCAGAGCTGTACTACTTCCTGTGAGAGTTTCAGGCCAATGCGTGTTTGTTGAGGATACTGTTAAAAGGACGGGGCACTGAGGCCTGTGTGCATTCATCTACTTCCCGTGCCGCCTGTGTTCAGCTAGGAATGGGACAGCCAACTACATCATTTACACGAGACGTTTGAGAACGGGAGATTCGGTTACCTGTTCATTCGCAGGGGGAGACGGCAGCCTACAATGGAAAATTAAAAACAGTAACAAACAGCAACTTATTATATTTCCATGTGAATCATTTCAAAAGCAAAGAAAAAGCATTACCATGGTTCTTTTATGTTGTTGGGACTGACGTAATTATTAATCTTGACCTCCAAGGAGAAGAAATTTTTGTAGTTAAACCTATTACTAGAATCTGATCCTTGACCTACATTATGGTTCCTGTTTAAAAATGGATTTGGAGTTACATTTGTTGTTTTCTTTTTACTGCCAAGAAAATAGTTAGCATTTGTATCCCAGCCTATAAAACTCCAATGGCCAATGCTATACATTTTAAAAGTTTCTTTTTTCTGATATTATAGAAACCTATTATATGTCATGTATTAATCCCCTCTTCCAAATATTCTTAAGATGTGAACTTTAGCAAATTAATGAGGGGGAGAATGGATGAGTTTGTCACAGTTCTGGGGATAATGCACCACACATCCACAGTGGCTCCAGTTCTCTTCCATCGAGTGGCAGGGTGACCACCAGAGTGACCAGGTTCTCAGCTGTTCCTTGGACCGTAATCCCAAGAAACCTGGGTATGTTTTAGGACTGCAGTTCAGGATCTGGGAGCTGCTTTAGACAAAGGACTTATACACAGAAGACATGGTAAGTAGAGGCAACTTAGGTGTGCCACCTTGCCTCTCTGCTCCTCAGTTTTCGCATCTGTAAAGTAGGAACAGATGATTAAACTTTCCTAAGAATTAAAATGTTAAGGAAATAATGAATGTGACGTGACACAGACATAAGGTAGTCTTGTCTTATATTCCCAGGGCCTAAATCAAAACCTGGCATGTAAGGTCCTCCTGATTGTAAAGTACTTGGTTTTAGGCTGGAATGGGGCCGATTCTGAAAGGCTCTTTTAAGTCCTTGTAAATTTTACAGCCTTTCTAGTTCCTTTCTGTGGCCCATGCTGATCTGTGGGGTAGTTTAAGGTTAGTCCTACATCAGACCATGCTCTCTTTGGGAGTAAACTTAAAGGCTTTGGAATCATTCTGGCCTTGGAGGCCAAGTGCCCGCATAATCAGTCTACTGTTGGGACTCTGATTTATCTTCTCCAGCAGCTACTTTGCTCAGGTGACACACGGCCTTATTCTTGAGGCATCAAAGCCTAGACAGGGACAGCTGCCAAAAATGTACACTGCATTGTTCTCTCCAACCCCCACTGTGGTGTCTTTCTTGTTATTAACCTTTGCTGTTGTTGTTGTTGTTGTTGTAACAGAGTGAATTTTGGAGCAGTTTTAGGTTCACAGAAAAACTGAGCAGAAAGTACCAACATTTCCCAGAAAGTATTTCCGATATACTTTACCGGCCCCCCATGCTCCCCCAATATCTACATTCTGTAACTGGGAAGGGGGGGAGGGGGTAGACAATGTTACAGTCAGCAAACCTACACTAACACGTCATAACTACTCAAAGTCTGCAGTTTACATTAGGGTTCACTCTTGGTGTTGTACATTCTATGGGTTTGGACAAATGTAAGACATGTATCTAGCATTACAATACCATAGGAGTATTTTCACTGTCCTAAAAAATTTTTACTGTGCTTATCCATGCATATCCCCTAACCCCTGGCAATCACTGTCTCCATGGTTTTGGCTTTTCCAGAATGTTATACAGTTGGACCACCTTTGTTTTTATTTTATTTTATTTTATTTTAATTATTTTATTTTTTCAATATATGAAATTTACTGTCAAATTGGTTTCCATACAACACCCAGTGCTCATCCCAAAAGGTGCCCTCCTCAATACCCATCACCCACCCTCCCCTCCCTCCCACCCCCCATCAACCCTCAGTTTGTTCTCAGTTTTTAAGAGTCTCTTATGCTTTGGCTCTCTCCCACTCTAACCTCTTTTTTTTTTTTTTTTTTTCCTTCCCCTCCTCCATGGGTTTATGTTAAGTTTCTCAGGATCCACATAAGAGTGAAAACATATGGTATCTGTCTTTCTCTGTATGGCTTATTTCACTTAGCATCACACTTTGTTTTTTAATGCAGTGGCACTGTGTAATATTTTGTTATATTTCTACTTGCTAAAATAATTGTTAAAAGTTCACTTCCTTGATACTATCCTAATACTTTTCATAGTGAGCAAATCAGATGAAGAGTTAAGAAAAAGACAAAGAGTTAGGCTGTTTGAGACCCTTAAGAGAAAGGACACGAGGGAAATGAGAGGATTTATGTGAAACATAGCTGCCCTCCACTAGCTCACAAGTGGAAACAAGTCCTACTCAAGTACACTAAAGACCCTGAGAAATGCTATGACTTGTACTTCGTTCCTTTGTGATGCCAATCCAGTAAAGATGAAACATAATCTTTGAAGTGATCATGTGAGTTTGAGGACTAACCAGGGGAAGAGTCGGAGGACAGCTTGATTATTACCCTGCTTTCTTCTAAAATGGACTAAATGGGTTTGGTTTTAATACGTGCTCTCTGCTTGACTTGTTCATGCCCCCTTTGAAATAACTTGCTGGAGTATTACTATTACAAGTCAGTGTCTGGTCAGTGCCATTGCCCATATGTATCGAAAGGTCCCTCTTTCCACCCAAAATACATTTATATCTTAGTATTTTATTAACAAACACCTGTGGCTTTCGTCCAGGGGCTTTTTAAGTTTAGCATTTTCCTCTTGAATTTTGTGCTTCCCATCCTGCCAAAAGAAAACAGCCCAGTATATTAATTATTCAGAATGCTAAGCAGTGATGATGCTGCAGACATTTTCTTCTGTATTGACTTAGCTTAGGCATAACACTAAGCAGCTTTATTATTATATGGAAGGAATTTACCTTCCAGAATATTTCCTCATTCTTTAATCACTTTCTTAACAAATTATTCTGATAGGGTTTGCAACAAATGATTTTCAGAGTAGGTATTCTCCTTAACTCTTGCAATTCAAATAAAATTCAGAATATATCCTATTTACTTGCAAAGTGAGCTCAAGGTATCAGTTACTGCTTAGGGTATGTTAGTTACTTCTGTCTATCTCTATATATCTTCACCTCCCACTCCCCAGTGAGCTCTGGATAACTGGTAAAACCAAGCATGGCCATATATAGCAGACTATAACCCTGTGGACACTCAGTCAAGCAGCTGCCACAACACCGTAACAACTTGCATAGCCTAGACACTGGAGTTTTGTATTTTGAAGGACCAATGTAAAGTTCCAAACATCCACTCTACCAAAGTGTGTAAGCCCTGCCTAGGCAGTTTTCAGTGACAAATTCTTTCTGTGGACACTGCTGTCTGCCTTGAGCTGCTGTCCATCAGCCTCCAAAAATAGAATGCACATTCTTAGACCACTCAAGTGTCAAGGAAAGGAGGTTAATGCAACATTTACACTCCTGGAACCCCTACCGCAGGACAATTCCAGATTGAGAAACTTAAGGCCTCACTGGAAAAGCAGGGTAAAAAAGGCCAAGAATTTAAGTAAATCTCTATAAGCCCTTCTAAGTAGATTTTATGTTTGCTAAACTAAAATAATGAAGTTGGCATGCTACAAAAGGAGTGGTATTTTGTACACTTTAAATTGCAGTGAATACTACTACATAATAAATTTCTATTTACCATTATTTTCTGCTCTCCAGCAAATTAGCATCTCTTTCTCTAGCAATTTTAAATTAAGAAGCTTATAAATTTGTCCTGCTTTGTTATATATGATGTAAACAAAGAAGATAATTTTTTCCCTGTGTTTGTCTTTGACAGAAAATGTATTTCATACGTTTCTGATTTTATTATTTAACAACATTGGCTCCCATTTCATGGATCCCAGAGATGGACTTTTCCGTTTTAGCTTCCTAACCACTACAGGAGCTGGGAGTCTCACTCCTAAGACTGTCCTGTAGATATGTCTACTCTTGCTCTTTAATCACTCTATGTTCCCTCTTCTAATTTCCCAAGAAAAGTAAAACTGGAATCCTCATGATTCTGAAAACGGTATACAGAAGCAAATCCATATTTAAGACAATTCTGTTAAATGGAAAATCAGGGTGGGGAAAGATTACTATAACATATTATTGAAGATGTTAGCCAGTAGAATCCCAAGGAACACCAGTTTTTGTTAAGATACCAAAACAATCTTAAAGCGAAAGGGATTAAGAGGGTCACTGGAAATCATGGTTACTAATCTTCTTTTCCAAATGAAATCAAGTCAGAGAGAGTGTCCAGAGACAGACTGAGAATCAAGGCCTTGTGTTTACCCCAGGTCTTGTCTGCCATCTACATACTCAAGGACACAGCAATTAAGCTCATGTTCCAGGAGAGAAAACTGTCCAGCCCATCGAAGTAGCCTCTAAAAATTAAGTAAATGAACAAGGGAATAACAAATATTACCGTTTTGGGTTCTGGCTTCTGAAAGCCCTTTCCTGGGATGTTCCTGTTGTTTTGTAACCTTCTTTCTCTTTCCTGTTTTAGCTCTAACTCAAGCTGGTGCCTGGGACAGATGGGAGAGGAAAAGGATGAAAATTTGGGTTTCTGCACTCATAATCTCTAAAGAACGCCCAACCCTTTTCTTAAAGCTCAGCAATTACATTTTAATACTTGATTAATAAAAGGATACCAGATATATATGGGCAATCAGGTTTTAAGGTGTTAAAATATAATACAGTAAAACCAGTAACACTAAAATACAGACATTTTAAAAATCTTTCTTGGGTAATTAAGAATGTACTTCAAGATCTCCTAGTACCCAAGGGTCACCACTCTCTGAATATCAGTATTAATATTAACTCTTTTTTTTTTAAGAGTCTTACAATATTTCTTTAACATTTATTTATTTTTGAGAGACAGAGAGAAACAGAGCACCAGTGGCAGAGGGGCAGAGAGGGAGACACAGAATCCGAAGCAGGCTCCAGGCTCTGACCTGTCAGAACAGAGCCCAATGCGGGGCTCGAACCCATGAACCGTGAGATCATGACCTGAGCTGAAGTCGGCCACTTAACCGACTGAGCCACCCAGGCGCTCCTAATGTTAACTGTTAATAAAGAGTTGTGGTCAACTGAATGGCAATTAGTAGGATTTGCTATAATGAAAGACAGTATTTACCAATTTTCAACAAGAAACAATATGAAAGCACTAACACTGTAGTCCCATTTCGTTTTAATTAGCTGGTCTCTCTTTATAGTTATGTGTTCAATGCCCAGTTACATCATCAGCCACTAATGTCCTTAGTAGCCATGTGCTTTTATATCTAACAACAAAGTTCTCTTTGTTTGAAGTCAGTGGCTTCTGCAGAGAATTGAGTCTCATTTGACAGATAATATGGAAGAGTTGTTAAGGACTTGCGAGTCAAGAGAGAGACAGGCTTTGAGAATGCTGCCACTGACTAGCTGCACTGTGTCAATCTGGACAAACTGAACCCATCTAAGCTTTAATTTCATCTGAAAATGGGGGGTAATATAGTCAACTACTAATAGGGTTGATGGGAAGATGTTAGGACAGAAAGCCTGTGAAGTACTTTGTGAAGTTTCTGCACACAGTAAAAATTTAGGAAATACCATTATTAGTGTTAGGTTGGCTATTAATTCTCTTACTCCTTTCTATTTATTTGGGACCTTGAATTCTAATTTCCTAATTCTTTGGTTGCAAAGCATGTTGACAAGATTTGGAAATGTTGATACAGGTGAAGCTTTCTGAATCTAATTCCAGAGAAAGGACATTACAAAGACAGAACAGAGGGGGCTGGATCCTGGGACCTCCTAATCTTGCGACTAGCCTTAGAATTACCCACGACCACCCTGTCAGCTCCTGCTGCCCTCTCTTCACCGCTGCCTGGTGAGCTCCTCCACTTCCAGCTGCAGACTGTTTATCTTGTCTCCGAAGTCCTGCTTGAACAGCCGGTTGTCCAACTCAGCAGACTGGCGGTCTCGCTCAGCCTGGCGCAATCTGGATGTGAGCCACATGAACTTGTGATAAAAAACAAAAGCCATGGTGGGGAGGAAGACCAAGTTTACAACACAAAATAAAGCAACCCAAGGAAGAAGGCATGGAGAGATGTGGCGGGGTGGGGTGGGGTGGGGGGGACAAAAAGCTTTGCAGGACACAGGGGAAGAAATTATATGGAGGAAAAAAGATGGAGAAGAAACAAATTCCAACGGAAAGTAAGATGAAGGTGAACCAGGCAGAGGAAAAGTTGATTTTCCAATTTTTTTTTATTCTAGTACTACAGTTTACAGCCATTAGATGATAAACAATAAAACATCACTTTTTAGAAAATCCATATCCAAAGCCAACCTCAAGTACACAGTAATTAAAGTCAAATCCACCTTTTGTTTGTGTTTATTTCCTAATAGGTTTGGTACCTCATATTTCTGCTTTACACACATAACTGGAACTTGCAAATGGGCAACTACCTTATTATATGTGGAATTAGAACATGTTCCTGGTCCTTTCCCTACACCACAAATTATATTAAATCACGGACATTACACATTAACCCTTACCAAGGCTTTTCAGCTGTTTCTATAAGGAAAAGCCTTTGCCAGAGTTTGGCCATCTCTTTCCTTTTCCATTCCCACCAGGTTGTGTGTGACTAAGTGGACAAACAACTCAGCACCGGGCCTATGTAAGATTCCTGATCGTATTCTCTGGAGAATTCTAATGAATGTTTTCTTCTATATATCCCATAACTTTGCACCTATAAAGAAGCATGTTCTAAAAGGTGAAATCTCTGGGGCTCTATATAATAGAATTTGAAAGCATGCTATCTGTAGTCTTTAAAATGTTTTATTTTAGTCTTTGAGCACTCCTCCCAAATGCTCATAGAAAAGGCAATTCATCACCACAAAAGGTTGATGAAGATAAGAACAGGTGCAAAATTATAAGAACTAAAATAAGTTCAAGAGCACAGGATATTCCATGAGGTTAGTCATATGCTCTTTGACTTGACTTTGGTTCAAGTCTGTAAGGACCTATAGAAGCACAAGTGAAATCTATCTTACTCTCTTAATTCTGGTTTTTCCAAGAAGAAGGTAAAGAGTTTCAAAAGCTGGAAGCAAAGGGGGGTTATCTTTGTTCCCACCTAAGCAGCTGAAATGCTGCAAATCATACCAAAATGAGAAAAAAACATTTTTTTGTCAAGACTTTTTGAAGGAATGAAGGCTTATGTACAGCCTGTTCCCCCATATCAAAAGTCATTAAAAAAAAAAATCCAAGTATTTATAGGATTATTTACAATGCAAAGCCTAGAAAGGGGTAGATCTGGGGTCACTTAGAAAAAGAAGCCCTGCTAATTAATCACTCTTGTGGTTATCTACTGGGAATGTTTGTTTTTAGACTAAATAATAATAAAGAGTTTATTATGTATCTATTTCCTACCTTGAGATGGTTTTCTAATAAAATTAGATAGTTAGTTTCCTAGAGACTAGCAAATCCCCATCTGAACAGAAAGTAATAGAAGCTCTTAAGTCAATGTTTCCAGCAAGGAATGACAGGTGGGGAACCATCACTCATGTCTATACCTTGTTGTCTTTGCTTCAAAAGGAAAAGCAAGATAGATTTGAAAATTGTGTAGTGTTTTTTTTTTTGTTTTGTTTTTTTTAATAGACGAGTTTTTCATTAAAATTGTTCTCTCTGAGCTACCTAAATAGGAAGTGGCACTGCAGGAAAATGGCAGAGGTAGAAGATGACAAATATTAGGAGGGTTTTCCAAGCTTCCACATTATTACGTTATCATAAGTTACCTAATCACTACCTTTATCTCTATGTACTTTAAAGAAATGTAATGATGCGGGTTTCCCACCCCCTCCCCCCCCAAAGTCACTAAGGCAAAAAAGTTGCAAGCAATCTTGGTTACTGAGAATAGAACTGTAGTGAGATGCTAAGTACTTATCCGTGGCTTGGGGAGTAAACCTACACAACAGAAGTGGAAAGGGGCCAGGGCCTAGGAGACACAGAGCTATTTTAGGAGAGTGCTAGTCCATATGCTGTCACCTCCTGTTCACTACGTCGCAGTGGCCGAGCAGGCCTGCTGGTACACACAATGCACCTAGAATCTTATATGGTCAGGGACTGCTTGTAAAGGCATCAATAAAATCTGCACACTGGGTTTTAATTAATTCCCTAGGCTTTTCTTGTGTGTGTGTTTTTTAAATGGTGTGTTTATCGGTCAACTCAGAAGTAATTTCTCAAAGTTTATTTGGCAATTAATTGAGAACTTATACTAAGGTTTCTAACTCTGGGGAGAAAATAAAAAAACCCACAGCCTATATATCAAACTGTTTTTTTTTTCCTTTCTTTTTTTTTAAAGTCCCAACAAATTCAAAGTCAATTTTTGGTGACATTTTATGTAGAATCAGAGCCTAAATGTAGTAACTTCCAGATTTCTTTCTTTACAATTAAGTTGTACGTCAGACTTGCGAGGTGACCACTTGCAAAGTGCCTAATGATGTTTGGGGATCAGTTTATTCGCTGCACTATTTAAGGTCTTTGCCTGTTTCACCAAATCCTTTTCACTAAATTAGTAAGATAAAAATAAAAATGGAGTGAAAGGGGAATGAGAAAATGAATAAACGGGAAAGACAAAAATAACAAGAGAAAAAGTCAGCTTAATATATGAAGAAGGAAGTCATTGTTTTAGTTCTGTCTACTTTAAGTGCCACGCCAAAAAACTATCAAAAAATAATTTGCACATTTCAAAAATACAACTTATGAACACCAAAATTAATCTGTTAAATCATAAACATGTAAGTGCTCATGAGCAAGCACTTAGAGAATGTCCTAGTTAGACCTGATACTCTTTTATTAAAAACCAGTCAAACCAGAAGTTTCAAACTTATTTGCTCATTTGCAATTAACTTGTGAGTTACCATTAATATGCAGTGCCATTTAGGACCACTTCCTGGTCAAGCATCATCTGAATAAAAGAAGTAACCCATTCATCCTTTCATTCACGCACCAGCTAAGTGAACATCTCGCATGTTTCATGGCACTGAGGCAGATCCAACGAGGGAACTTAAAAAATTCATTAACTAACCCTGAGAACTCACACTCTCATCAGAAGGTACACACACACACACACACACACACACACACGGCTGTAACGTGAGGCAGAAAGTGAGAAGTAAGCATTATGGGCAGGTATGGATATAAGGCTCTGGGAATTCCAACAAGGGCAAATGGGTAGATTACTGTTATCAGAGAAGTATCAGAGGAAGCTTTGGAGAGGTGGCATTTGAGTCTGAATGTAAAAAATGTATGTCAAGAACAAGGGAGTGGGAAGAGGAAGGGCATTTCTAGTTGGTGGGTCCACTAGGGAAGGAATGGATGGGGAAAGTGGAAGCATGTGCAGGGACCAGCAACTGTGTAGTGTTGCTCAAGTAAAAGAAGGGTGACCAGTGGGTGTTAAAGGTGGCATCACGGGCTGGCAACACAGAATGACCGTGGGTGCCACAACTCCTTCACAAGAGGATGTGTTTCGGGCAGACTGAATTGTAGGTACCAGTTGAAACAGCCAGTCAGAAGACGAAAACCCAAGACTGGTCTCCAGAGGGGACAGAGCTGGAGACAGACAAATTTAAGATAGCGGGCAGGGGTGACAGTGGGCACACAGAACCGCTCAGAAGAAAGGAGACACAAGAGGGAGATGGTGGGGAGGAGAGAAAGGAGCTAAAGCATTAGAAGGGCCCTCAGTACCCCTGACATCACTAGCACCAACGCATTCCGAGACTTCAATGATGAAGAAGAAAATAACAACTGTAAACATATTTAAAAGTGCTTTCATCCTCACAGGTTATCCCTCCTCCAACATGACACTGAAATGGGATGATGGAAGAGGGTTACTGTTCTGCTGTTCAAAACAGTCACAAGAGGCTGATATGTTTCTTAAAAATGTTTTCAGTGACATCTTAGAGAAACACAAAATTTAACTGGCTTTCTACCAGCATGCCTGGTGTTAAGTTGGGAGAATCTCATACACTTTGTTTGCCAAATGCAGAGCGCACTTCTCTTACTTCCAGCACTAAAAGCCCCAAGTGTTTCACTAAAGAAACAGCACTTTTACCTTTGTTCGAGTTGTTTGATGGTAGCAGCCATCTGATTAGTCTTCTCTTCCAAGCGACTGTTTAATTCACTTTTCTGTTTCACTCCTAAGTCTGAACTCTGTTACGGAAAAGAAGTATGAGTGATGTACATATAACGTAAAGTCCTGAAATAAATCACACAGGCCTCTTGAACCTTACGAGTAAGTGGGAGATAGAGAAATAGAAATGCTCATATATTTGTATACCAGTTAATTTCCTGATGGGGAAGAAACAAAAAGCAATGTTTAAAATTAATACTGCTGTAAGCATCTTTGCCACAAAAATGAACATCAGAAGGTTCATCAATTTATCACATTTCAGTATAAAAGCTAATGGAATACAGAACTCAGTTGGCAGGTTAGGCTGGAGAGTAGAAATTATCTTATGGATGTAACAGACCCCCTTTCCCATTACAATCTGAAAAGTGACCATGGCTTTCCAGAACAGCAACACAGGACCCTGCAATGGTCTGATTCTTAAAGTGGTTTATTGGCAGCTAGCCTCAAAATGAGATGCGACTCTGGGAAGCCCAAGGATCTTGGAGAGCCAGTGAGCCTATTCCTCTTATTCCCCCTACCTGCAGCTTAAAGGCAAGTTCATGCTTGAGAGCCCTGAGATCATCCAGCTGCTGTCGCAGAGACACCAGGGCGTCCTGCTTCTCACAGACATCCTTCTCCAGCATCTTCATAGCCAATTCCATCTCCTGTCGCATGCTGATCTGGATCTCCAGTTCTTTTTCAACATCCTGCCCCCAAAGGTAAATAAACTGCTTATTCTCTTTCATCAACTAAGTTCAAACTCTGTAATTCCAAAGGAAAAGGTGTGAACTCTCAGGTCTGAATATTTTGGCAAAATAGCTACAAGTTATCATTCAATGCAGAGACATTAACAACAATAATTAGGATCATCACAAAAATATTTACTCAATAATTTACAAATCTGAAAAACTTGGTAGGTCAAGATACTGCTATTTAATCTGTGTAAAATATGCACATACTTGAGACACTCCGTGATAGTAAGAGAAGGGATGTCATGTCCTATTATGGAAATGTATATAGAGTGCTACAGTAGCTACCATAAAATGAAATAGATGCAGTTCTCTTCAATGTGGATGTTACTGACATATTTAAGAGCTCAAGAAACCCAAAAGATACTTTAGGTCCCCAGCATAAACATCTCAATAACGGGGAATGATTGATATGGCTAACTGAATTTTTATATTCACTTAACATGAAACCCATTTTTGTTTCAACCATTATTAGTGCAACATTATTTGGAAGATCAAAGATACAAAGACCTGAGGTTCTTCTGCATCCATGCTGTGCCTGGGGCATATCTAGGACCTACTTGCTTGATTTCTTTTCTTTTTTAACAAACATGTATCTTATTGTGACATAAGGAATGTGGAAAATTTTGTGTGAGATTTTGATTTTGATGTGCCATCTGAGGTACTTCTCTGTGCATGGGTAGCATGATTAAATGAGACTGCTTCTTAAAATGCTGACATATATTATTTCTAGAATCTTCCTCATAGAAAGTGTTTTGAGATCTAATCCATAAACACATAGAAGGAAAATGATAGTCATTTCAAGGATACTAAGATTATATTGCTGTTTTCTCAGAACTCCTGAAATTCTATTCTTACACTGTTAGTTGGTGATAATTTTTAGTACAAAGCAGGGCACCTTTATTTGCAGGCTTTTCCCTATTTTCAGAAACACTATTGGTGGGGGGAGATCCTTTTGTCTGTCATATTATCAAAATTGTAGGAGTTAATATATCAATACCATTGATATATTAATATACTAATATTAATATACTAATACTTATTAGTATAATAAGGGGTGTCTTAATATACTAATACTTATATAAAATCTATTACAAGAGTATTATTCATTATTATACATTTATGCGCGCACACACACACACACACACACACACACACACACACACACACAAGGAGACAAATCAGAATCTTCACAGGGGCTTGGATCATAAAGTTTAAAAAGGTAGGTCCCATATACCTAATGTTCTTGTAACAGAAACTATAAAACTACAAAAGCTGTCTCAGAAAATGGACTGAGAAAGCATTATAGGGAATATGGGTTCAAAAAGAGTGAGGAACGGGGCTCTGGGGGGCTCAGTTGGTTAAGTGTCTGACTTCAGCTCAGGTCATGATCTCACAGTTTGTGAGTTCGAGCTCCGCGTTGGGCTCTGTGCTGATGGCTCAGAGCCTGGAGCCTGCTTCAGATTCTGTGTCTCCCTCTTTCTCTCTGCCCCTCCCCCACCCATGCTCTGTGTCTGTCTGTCTGTCTCTCTCTCTCAAAAATAAACATTAAAAAAAAAAGTGAGAAACATACACCTGAAACTAATGTAACACTGTGTGTGACCTACACTCAAATAAAAAATTTAATTAAAAAAAAGAAGTCATAGAAACAACTAATTAAAGTATCATTACAAGAGTCACAGAAGAGCTCTGTATGAACAATATTCTCATTAGCAAATATTATGATATGAAAAAATCCACGCTAAGACTTAGCTAAGAGGGTTTTCTAGATTTCGTTTTAATTGAGTCAGATAATTAAAAATTTCCTACCATTTTTAAATATTTTTTAATTTAATTTTTTAAAAGTTTATTTATTTTTGAGAGAGAGAGAGAGATAGATAGAGGGAGAGAGAAAGAGAGAGACGTGAGTAGGGGAGGGGCAGAGAGAGAGGGAGACACAGAATCTGAAGTAGGCTCCAGGCTCTGAGCTGTCAGCACAGAACTCAAGGTGGGGCTCAAATCCACAAACCCCAAGATCATGACCTGAGCCGGGGCTAGATGCTTAACTGACTGAGCCACCCAGGCGCCCCCAAAATTTCCTATGGTCTTCTAATATGCACTGTATTAATCAATTAGCAGCTAGCCCTTCCTATGGAAGAAGGTAATATCCTTGGTTAAGAGTGTTTTATACAACTAATGCCCAGTGAAGGTAAAAATCAACCATATGAAAACTTGCCTTTATGTAGAACCATATTCACAATAAACATACTCAAAATTAAAAAAAGAAAAAAGAAGAGTGAGAAACAGTTTTTTAGGATCTACAAAAATCTGTTAGGTCACTATTAATGTTCCTGACCCTGGTCTGTAAGATCAAACCTCTCTAAGTGGGCCTTTATGTTTAATGGGTTTCTGAACTACTAGAACGTAAGTGAAGTTTACCAGTCGCAACTGTGTCTCCTCCTTTAAATGCTTTCTGGCTTCACTCAGTGCTTGCCCATCTGAAGTTCTGTCCTGCTTAGGACCCTTGAAGAGATACATGAAATAGTAAATATATTTAAGGATTAAAAAAAAAAAACACCCTGTATAGCGTTAGCTGACACTAGTACTGCTGTTTAGTAAGGAAAAATGATTATATGTGGTTAAACGGGTGTAACAATGAATGAAGACAACAAAGAGATTGAAGAAGCTTAGTAAATAAAAAATTCTGTTCTGAGAAATCACATTTGTTTTCATAAAGTCCACACACGTAAGCCAAACCCATTACTCACAGCAAACGACTTCATCCCCACTCAGAGCCTAGTTGCTTTCTTTTTAGAAATAATTTTAATAACTATGGATATTTGGATTCTTAGGTCACAGAAGGTTAGAAGTATGAAGATAAAAGGGAGTGGGGAGACACTAATACTTTCAGGGAGAAGCAACAGATGCCAGTGACATCATAATAGCAGAGAAAAAGCACCCAGAGCAACCTGGAAACATTTAAGTATAGGTGCTAGAAGCTCTATCAGTTCCAACAGCCCCTACGGTAGCATCACTGTAATGTAGTACAGAATTGCCACTGTTGGTAATTATGATTTTCAGTCATCATAAAGGGCTAAATGTGTTAAATTATGTCCTCTATCTAAGACTGCTTAGGATTGTGTAGTACATAAAAGGTTTGCAAAAAAATCTGTATAGACATATATAAAAAGTTTGATACTTTAAGGGGTTATCTGGTAAACACATGTACATGGTAACTCCCAGTGGTACCAGATAAACACTTCTTAGAAAATAGTACCATGGACTAAAAACAATGATATATTTAATATAATGAATATAACCTTGAACTACAGTGCAAATCATTAGTACAAAACAACAAGAAATTGAATGAGACCTGTTCTTGGAATCTTTAAACAGATGTAGGTGGCAGAGAAGCCAAGGAGCATCTGTAGGAGAAGGAGCCTCACTCTGGCATAACCTCCATTATTCACTCGATTCTACATGGAGTCTTAGTAAAAACAGCATGCTATATGTCAAGTAGCTATACGTTTGCTACTTCCAAACAGTCCTCTAGAGTAGAGGCCCTCCCCACCGCCCTGCTAACACATTAACACATTTCTAGGAATGTTTTATAAATCCAGTAAGGTTAACCTTCCGATTGGATTCCAATATGTAGGAGCTTTCCTCTTTAACTCGTTCCATTTCTTCTTGCAAGGTAATAATCCTGTTGTTTGCAACTGCAAGCTGTTGAAAAAATTTAAAAGATAATCTTTTATTTTTCTTTTTTAACAGAGGATAAGATAATTCATGATCTGCTAGGACATCATTTTCAGGCTTGAATATTCTTAGAAGGAAATAAAGCTTTCTATGACTGCATAAAAATGTTCTCATGGTGTGGGAAGTTAGGAAAAGTATTTTTAAACTAGGTTAGGTAAAAATAAAAAATATCTACTGTTGCTTTTTGTGTGAACTCTTTTTCAGGACCAAAATGTTAACTTAAGATTGTTTATCTCAAGGGTATTCTCATGGGTAATTTATATTTTGTTATAATACCTATTTCTAAAATGTTTAATAAAGAAGTCACCTTGGGGCACCTGGGTGGCTCAGGTGGTTAACTGTTGAACTCTTGATTTTGGCTCAGGTCACGATCTCACAGTTCGTGAGATGGAGCCCTGCGCGGGCTCTGTGCTGACACCGTGGAGCATTCTTGGGATTCTCTCTCTCTGCCCCTCCCCTGCTCGCACACACGCAAGTATGCATGCATACTCTCTCTCTCAAATAAATAAATAAACATTATATAAAAAAGAAGTCACCTCATGCCTTGGGATTCATCTCACAAATGATACATAAGAACTTTGATAGATGATTTTTAAGAGTAAAGAAATGAACTAAGTCCTCTCTCTAAAAGATACCATTAAGTATCAAAGAGACTTTTTTATTTCAGCACCTAAACAGGTAAGGTAATGTTATTAGCAGTACACTGCTAAGGGGAAACATTTATATCCCCATTCCAACAGGAGGGGATCTCCTCATGAGCAGTGAGCATAGGTTCTGCTTAGTTCTGGTTCTAGTGTGTAAGTACAGAGGAACCTGGGCTCAGGCTGCTTTCTAGAGATGGGTCTGGAAGCCCATTTTTCCCTCTGCTCCATGGGCCTCACGGTGCATAAAAAAGTTAACTCTGGACAAGTGGGTCTGCTTTCTAGATCCAAAGACACCCTCAAATGGGTACTTCCAAGATTTTAACATCAGAGAAAGTTTTAGGAAACTATGTCTATATCTCCAAGTGGGCCTTCTAATTCAGCTTTATCAATAATAAAGTGGATATTTTTAAATTTTTTTTTTCAACGTTTATTTATTTTTGGGACAGAGAGAGACAGAGCATGAACGGGGGAGGGGCAGAGAGAGAGGGAGACACAGAATCGGAAACAGGCTCCAGGCTCTGAGCCATCAGCCCAGAGCCCGACGCGGGGCTCGAACTCCCGGACCGCGAGATCGTGACCTGGCTGAAGTCGGACACTTAACCGACTGCGCCACCCAGGCGCCCCAAAGTGGATATTTTTATATCATCATCTGTTTACAACTTCTCACTTTATCACACTGATTCATTCAGGAAAAGAAAAGAGGGGTTTTTTTTTTGTTTGTTTTTTTGTTTTTGTTTTTTTACTGGCCCTCTTAAATCCAAAATATATGGAAAAGAGATCTTGGTGGAAAAGACATCCAGATATAGATATATGGAAAAGGAATGAGACATATGGAAGAAACAGATCTGATTTGCCTTTTCTATTCTTTATAAAGCCTATACACAGTGCTTACCTATCTCTACAAATCCAAGGTTTCAATAAAATAAATGTTACTGGTAAAATAAGTACATGAATGAATAAATTAATATTGCTAATAAAATAAATCTAGGTCAGAAGGACAAGTTTTATGACTGAGGGAATAAAATTAATAACTATATTTACTGGGTGCTTATGATGTGTCAGACACTGGTCTAGGCCTTTATGTATTACCATTTAATTCACACAAAAACCTTACTATTATTTTATCATCCCCATTTTACAGAGAAATAGATCAAGAAATAGAGGCTTAAGTTATTGGCCAGGATTAGAAAGTTAGCAAGTGCCAGAGCTGGGACATGAATCCATGTAGCCCAGATCTAGAGACCATGCTTCACTGTTGGGCCTTATTGCCTCAACAGAGGAGCAGCAGAAACACAGCAGAAAATTTCTATGCAGAGTATTTCAGAAACTTTGTAGAGGGGCACCTGGGTGGCTCAGTCAGTTAAGCCTCCAGCTTGGGCTCAGGTCATGATCTCACAGTTCATGAGTTGGAGCCCCACATCACGCTCTCTACTCTCTGCTGTCAACACACAGCCCGCTTCGGATCCTCTGTCCCCCTCTTTCTCTGCCTGTCTCCTGCTGGTGTGTGCGCATTCTCTCTCACTCTCTCAAAAATAAATAAACATTAAAAAAAAAAAAAAAAGCTTTGTAGAGTAAAATTCTAAGGACCGTTTCCATTAAGTTTTAATATAATTTAAGAATCTATATCCAAAAGTGAAGCCCACAAGGCTGAGAAATAAGGAAGCTGTTTGAAAGTTGTAACAATGAAAATGTTCTGAAGGAAAATGTTTAAACAGCATCTTCCCGACCAGTGCTTGAACTTGGGTTTTATTTAGACCAAATCTATCTCACAGTACATAACAGGGTAGTTATAATCAGAAATACATAAGAGAAAGTCTTTGTCACCTGAAAATTTTATGTAACATTTTCCATAGAAACATCTAATGCTATTGAAGAAAAAAAATGTGGCTTAGCCGCTGGCAAATTAAAAAATTTCTTTATTAATCAGAAGCGAAAATGAGGTCAATATTTATTCTTATTTTGGGGACTTTCCTAAGGATTTTCACATATATATTCTCCTGTGATCTTCAAAGCAACAGTGAGGCTGAAAGGGGAAGTATAAATACCCTCATCTGCCAGTGAGGGATGGGGCCTCCTGGAGGTCAAGTGACTTACTTGCTCAGAAGCACATGACTCGTAAGCAGCGTGACATAAAAGCAGGGAATGCTGGTGTTCTGACCAGAGCTCTTTATATTATCTGCCCTACCACCCCAAGGAGAAAATGAGATCCTGGAGGGTGGGAGCTTGCCAATCTGGCACACATCAACCAATGCACACATAAATCTCTCTCTAGCTCTAGCACGTAAGCAGTACCAAATGTTTGTTGAGTGAACAAACGAACATCAAGCTGTATGCTAAAGGTTAACTCTAGGCTAGCCCAGACAAAACATTCATGCAAAAGAAAGCAAGATATCTGATGGGCCCAGGTTCTACGCCTTCATAGTCCAACTGGATAACAGACACCCCTGAGATAAGCCAGCTGGCCATTCTCAGTCAGAACAAGGGATTATGTCCTATTACAGACATTATCTGAAAAAGCCAAGTCCTTTATTTTCAAAGGAAGGACTGGTTCCACTAATGCACATTATTAAATTCTATGTCAATCAAAGTGTTTCCAAAACACTTACCTCCTCTGTCAGTTTAGTGTTGGATTTTTCTAATGCATCCACTTTTGCCTGAAGGTTGTTTACAGTAGCACTATCAAGAAAGGAAAAAAAAAAAAAACCCATAATGGTTTCTCTTGAAAAACAGAACAATATCTTGTACTTTCCATTTAAACACCCATCGCATTTATCATTCATTGTCTAAAGTCCACAATTCGTGATAGAATTGCAGGTTCTAAGACAGTTTACAAGTGGCTGTGTGTCTTAACTGTTACATCCTGGCCACTGAAGCTTGTATTTAAGAAGTACTTGTTGGATGAAATTAAGGAGCTGATGCACGGCACAGTATATAATAATGAACTACATGAATTAAGTGCTTGCCATACACTGAGCACTTTTCTAAATTATTTTATTTGCATTATTTCATTTACTCCTTTCAACAATCCTATGCATTAGGTATCCCCAAAGACAGATAACGAAGCTGATGCATGAAAGAGTAAATAATTGTCATGCTTCTATTTCACTATCAAATGTAAGCATACTTCTGCTTGACTAACATCTCCATTAATTCACTGTAGTCATTATTAGTTCTTGGTCTCCAGAGAAAATATACTTAAACTGCTCTGGAATTTTCTAGCTGGAACCAAGACTACTCAAAATTTATACTGATACTGGTATAATCATATAATAGGTCTTACTTTATTAAAATTGTTATCTTTTTAAAAGAATTGTAAGCAAGATAATAGTTAATGGATGGAGAGATCAATTTTTCTGAATTATTCAACAGTCTTTAGCATAACAAGAACATCAATGTACTTGAGGACACCAACAGAATTTGGATCGCTCTCCTCACGAAAGAGGAGATGGTTTCATGTTCTGGAAGTTCTGAAAAATACTTAGTATTTGGGAAAATAATGGTAGTGATGGCAAAGAGAGGGTAAACTAATACAATCAATTCAATGTATAAATGACAAATCCAAGGGACCAACAAGATTAATCGAAAGGTACCAAGGCAATGAGTGGATTACCCAAGATCACTCTTGAAATATGTGGCTGGATCTACTGAACGAAGAAGGCTGCTAGTTTCAGCTGGGTATGTCACATGGTTAAGAATTTTTAACTGAACATAGTCAATCACTAGAGTTATAATTACATACTAATCTTAAATTGCCTTTCACTAAAGGTCACCCAAACAGTTAAATGCCATTTATTTAGTGCCTAGCTCAGTGCCTGGTAAGCAGGAATTCAATTTATTTTTATCGAGTATTGCCTGAATTTATCTCATGGCTCATCAGTTTACTCTTTCCTTCCTTTGCAACAAAATCCCCAGTAAAGTAAAAGTATTGATTCATTCTTTACTTTAGATGTCTGTTGAGTTCCTCTACATAGTTCTTCTGATCCAGAATTGCAGTAATTTGGCCATCTCTGGGATGGGAGGGGAGAGTTGGAGGAAAAAACAGAAATAAAATAAATAACATTAGAAACACCAAGATCCTCCCTCCATTAATCTTTTCATATAACAGAGAAAAGAAAATTGTAGCACAGAAACCAGAAGACAGACCTGATGTATAATGCCCTCAAACAAGAAAGACTCAGAGATTTAAAAATGAAACAAAAAAATTCTCCATATTAACAAAGCCTTTGCTATAGCTTAAGTCCCTTAATAACTCAGGTTATAGGTATAACACTGTAATTTATCAGAGGCATTTAAAAATAAAAATTTTCATCTCACAACTGGTAGCCTTTTTAGCTTTGCTGGTATTACTTATGACAATGACTCTCCTGTGAGATCAAGACCTGAGTGGGGATCAAGAGTCGGATGCTTAACCGCCTGAGTCACCCAGGCGCCCCTCTGAGGTCTAATTTCTAAGGGCCATGTGGATATTCTGAAGTAATTTTACATTTACAAGAGCTGTAAAAGCAGTGCTGAGTTTGCGTTTATTCTTCACCTCATTACCCCGAATGTTAACATTGTACATAACCCCATATCGTATGTTTAATATTTCAAATTTTAAGAAATGGAGAATGCAATTTTCTGATCAAGAAGGCCACGTTTTCAAACACTACTTCAAGAGAAGGAGCAAGGGATTCCTTTTATAAACCTTTTTATTTTATTTTGTTAGCCCCTGAACCACACAGTAGAAAACCACTTAACCAAAACCTTTTTAGGGCTTAGCATGCACAATAGTCAGATACTTTTGGCAAGATTCTATTAAAGCTATATCATTGGAAATTCTTCCAGCAAGTGTGTTAAAGCACTACTGTTGTAAACATTAAATGCTATCGAAGAACATTAAAGAGAAAAGAAATTTAATTTTCTTTGTACATACCCTTCACTACCTTTACTGCTGTTCCCATCCTTGAGATACATTGAAAAATCTATAACTCCAACCTACAAAGAGAATTTTCAGAATTTAACATAAAATTAGATACTTTTTCCGAGGCATAATACAGTATCTCTTTCTGGGCACTCAGAACAGCAATGAAGTCATGACAGTTATTAGGAATTTTGATGAAAATGTAATGTTTTACTTTTATAGGACCAGAAGACCAGATCATGCAAGTCAACAGAAGATTTTGACAAGAAAGTCAAGGGAATGCTTAATATAAATTTAAGGTTTAAAGTTTCTTTCTCTTTTGTGTCTTTCAAGTATTTTGCTACTGAATCCCTATTCACTTACAGGAATAATAGTTTAAAAATGATAATTACAAAGAGAATGCACAGTTCCTTAAAGAAGTTTTGGAAAATATGGATAAATAAAAGGATGTAATACAAAACGCCCATAGTCCCAACCACCCAGATAGGACCACTGTAACAATTTGATATCTATTCTTCCAAACTTTCATTGATGCATTATGTCTAAATTTTTCAGGAGTGCTATTTCATTATTCAGTTTACTTATTTTTTTAATATAGGTCAAAATATCATATTTCCTTTTCCATTTTCTTAGACTAAAATGTAACAGAAATTTGCTGTAGTATTTCATAGAGAAGGGGTGAGAACGAGTCAGAATGAAAGCAACAGCTTTATTTAGTAAGCAATTAATACGTGCCAGGCCCTGTACTAGGTGAATTACATTACTAATTCTTTTATTCCACACAATAACTATAAGACATAGATACAGATACTCTTTTTTAAATCCCTGTATTTCAGCTAAGAAATGTGAAGCATCAAGAAACTACAAAATTTATTCAGTTAGAAAATAAAGAAGCAGAATCTGAACCTAAACAGTTTGGCTTCAGTCTGTATTCTTTTTTTGTTTTTATTTTTAAAAATTTTTAATGTATGTTTATTTTTGAGAGAGACAGAGACACAGTGCGAGCAGGAAAGGAGCAAGATGAGAGGGAGACACAGAATCCGAAGCAGGCTCCAGGCTCTGAGCTGTCAGCACAGAGCCCCATGCGGGGCTTGCACTCACAAACCGTGAGATTGTGACCTGAGCCAAAACCAAGAGTTGGACGCTCAACTGACTAAGTCACCCAGGTGCGCCAGTCTGTACAAACTATTTTAAACAGGGGTCACAGTCAAGAGAAAATTTGAAAAACACTCATAATACATAAATGAGTCAAATTAGAAGAAAAAACAAAGTAATTGCTTATATTCACATCAAAATTTTTACAAATACTATTCATGACTCACAGAATTTCTCTTAATTTGGTTGGTGTAATCTGATCAACCCAAATTCTGAGCTAACAAAACTCAGAGTGATGCACTTCGTAACTGAGCACACTGTGCATACCTGAGAGTCCAAGTCTTCTCCTTTCATACAGAAATTGGCATCAATGACGTTGAGACCCACCAAGAGACCAGCAATTATGGCTCCTTCTTCTTCCATCATGAGGGCGTTGGGTTCATAGAATTCGCTGTAAGAGAAATCCACAGAATACTCTGTTGTAACAAAACCTCAAGAATCCAATGATGTAATCATGAGACAAGCAGAAAATGCTGGCCTCATAGTTGAATATGGGTACTATGATAATAGAGAAAAGGTTAAAAAAAGGGGGGGGGGGAAGGTCTGAATACTTCATTTTAGATAATAGGTGCATGAATAGACTCTAGATAATAGACAGCCTAGCTGAAAGAGAAGTTGGTAGTTTCACTGAAGTGATTATTTATACTTTCCCCACATATTTGTATTTGAGATGCAAGGGATCATTTTTCCATCTTTAATGCATCTTTAAAAAATGGTTTTTTAAAAATTTGCCTCGGAGATCTGCTTTATTTGTAGGTGGGTGTGTATCACATTGTTGTTCTAATTTGCATTTACATGATGGCTAGTGAACTTATGTATATACATATAAATATATATATTTTAAGGTTTATTTTAAGAGAGAGAGAGAGAGGGAGAAAGAGAGAGACAGAGAGAGAGAGAGAGAGAGAGAGTCAGTCCCAAGCAGGCTCTGTGCTGCAAGCATGTGGGGCTCAATCCTATGAATCATGAGACTGTGACATGAGCTGAAATCAAGAGTTGGATGCTCAACCCACTGAGCCACCCAGGTGCCCTTACATTTATATTTTTTTAAAGTAATCTCTATGTCCAACATGGGTTTGAACTCACGATCCTAAGGTCAAGAGTCACATGCTCTACCCACTGAGCCAGCCAGGCACCCCTCTTTTTAATGTTTACTAGCCATTCTGATTTTCTCTTGTGAAACGCCTGTTCAAATCCTTTACCCATTTTTACATTTGCTCATCTATCCTTTTTTGAAAAAAAAAAAAGAAATTTTTTTTAATGTTTATTTTTGAGAGAGAGACAGAGCACGAATAGGGGAGGGGCAGACAGAGAGGGAGACACAGAATCTGAAGCAGGCTCCAAGCTCTCAGCTGTCAGCACGGAGCCCGATGCAGGGCTCACACTCACAAACTGCGAGATCATGACCTGAGCTGAAGTTGGAGGCTTAACCAAATGAGCCACCTGGGCGCCCTTGCTTTTTTCTTACTGGATTGAAGGAGCTCTTCACATACCCTGATTCATATCATTTATTCAATATATGTGTTACAAATATCTCCTTTCACACTCTATGGATTGCCTTTTAATCTTGTGTCTTTTGATGAACGAAGTTCTTCATTTTAATGTAGACCAATGTATCCATTTTTTCTTTAACAGGGAGAATTTTTTATGTCTTGTTTAAGAAATTTTTGTCTACCTTATATTGTCTTCTAAAATTTTTACTGTTTCCTCTTTGCCATTTGTGTCTATAATCCATCTAGAATTTTGTGTGCTGTTTTTAAATTGAATGTAACATGTCAACTTCCTGTCTTATTGCATCTGGGTAAATGCTAAGGTTGAGTCAAAAGCCTTTCCTGTTTTCTGGGTGTATTAAGTTTTAGCCTACCCTGCAAAGGACCATATATATGCCACAGTGACAGACTGAACACATGTAATAAACATCTATTCTTGGGTATGTGTGTGTGAGGTATGGGAGGAAGTATTAGTTGAACTATGTGAAATTGTCATGAAACAACTGTTTTTGATCTGCAAAAACAGCAAATTTATATGATTTGACCTCATATAAAATATAGAACATAGCAAGAAAAGAACAAAGTTCAATAAGATGTTCATACCTGAGAAGTTCCTTCTTATTGATCAAAGCTTTCATGTATTCTGAGAGTTTCTTTTGCATTAATGCCAAACGAAGCCAGGCTCTTCCTCTGCCTACTGGTGTCCTACAGAAACACATGAATCCAACAACTACAAGTAGCAGAGATAGAGGCCATAGTGGGACAGATTCACTTACTCTTGTCAATAGTCCCCAGTAATAACATGCACACTGAGCTCCTTACAACCTATTCTCCCACATTCCTATGTGAGGAGTTCTGTGTGGGCTGGTGGGACTGGGGTGTGTTTGGGACAACTGCTCTTGTGAAGCATGAATTACTGAGACTACAATTTGAAGATAAAAACCTCTGGGAGTCCCAAATGAAAATGTTCTATCACATTAGCATCGGTAAATCCTCATAAACTTAGTGTGGATCATTTAAGTGTCCAAATACTCGCAATGTGGACACAGTCCATTTAGGCCTCTATCTGATTAAAGTTAAACCAGTCTAATTTGAGAAAATGATCAGTCTTCTTTTTGAGTTCTGAGGCAGGTTCCCAGTGTCAGTTCCTGAGGTCCACTTGACAACGGTTTTAATCTTGGCTCTTAAAACTTCATTGAACACATTCTTTTTCTTAGTTGGGTCTAGCAACCTCCCTCCTAAGATCTGATTTCTTGAGACTCTAACTGATTCCCACAAGTACTTTTAAAAAAATAAGAAAAATTTTGGCATTTTAATATGAATACAACCTCTTTTAAATTAGTGATAATTATCCCTCACAGACACACTTCTCTTAATATTCTATATTAGCAAGTCTCTTGTAGTAGTACATATTCATAAAAACAGCATGCATTCTGGACTGTTATGAAATAAATGATTATGGTCATCATTATCTTTAGACTTGAAGGCAATGGTTAATGTTTTCCTAGCAGAATTGTGGACCTTAAACTTACTTAAGTCCTGGAAGATCTTTAACACTTGCTGTTATCTCTGCAGCTTCTGGAACAAGCTTTTCTACCAGTTCTAGAGGCCCCCAGAAGGATTTATTTTGTCCAAGAAAAGTTTTCTTAGCTAAGGTGATAAAAACAAAGCAATGTTTTAATATCCCTTGCAACATAAACATGCCCTCCACACACAAACACATATACACACTTCTCTCTCATCTATTTAATCCTTTTTATCAGAGAATTAATTCTGCATTATCAGACAGTTCTGAAATTATTCATGCTTTCAGAACAGATAACATTTTGTAAAAACCAAAAATCCCCCACTCCCCAAGACTCAGTCCTTCCTCTTTCAGGAAGAATTTATAACTAGACCTATAATAATAATAAAAGGCTTTAACAATATAGTACTTAAAGCTGTGTGGTACTAGTGAAGAAAAGAGTCCAATGGGAAAGAATATGTAACCTGCTTATGGTCAAGTGGAAGAACACAGAAGCAAGACTCAGGAGATATGAATTCTAGCACTTGCTCTGCCCCCACTCACTGTGTGACCTTGGGCAAATTACCTCCCATTCTAGGCCTGTTTCCACCTGTCCAACAGAACTGCCGTATTGGATTAGATACTCGTAATGTCCTTTCCAGCTCTAGCATTTAAGGATTTAAGCCCTGCATGTCTTTTAATTCAACCACATCCCTGTCTCCCTGTCTGTGCTCATATAGGGTGCGTTCCAATAGATTAATATTATTAATTCAAGCCTCTTATTCTTTGGCTCCAGAAAGAACACTTTTCTTGAACACGTATTGCTAGAAAATGGCTGCGTGCACATTTGCATTCTGGGGCCAGGGCCTACCCTTCAAGCCGTGTTTCAGGCAATGTTCCATCACCACGAAGAACTGCTGGAGGGGTGCATAGTCTGAGTCCAGAGTTCTTCCCAGGTTCAAAGCTGATTCAATCAAGCCCTTGATACTCAGCTTGGCCATGTTCATCAGGTTCATGCGTTCGTTAGCCATGAGATAATTAGGATCTACAGCCAAAGAGGGAGAGGATGGAGCCTGGTTAGTGGAAACAGCACATTTAGAAATTCAATGTTTCATTGTGTTGACGTTAGCATCGAAGGTGCAAAAGCAATGGTGGGTAGGACTGTTGGGTGTCTTGGCAAGAATGGAGACAGTGGTTTTGTATTCTCTGCCAAGTACTTGCTGTTAAAAAAAAGAAAGATGCCAGTTTCCTTTAGGAATATCCTTGATGCAACAGTGAAAATTACTTATTTTATCAAATTTCAAGCATTGAGTACAGTCTTAATAACCTCACCACCACCTCTGCCCTAACCTAACCTGGGTGCCCATCCTAGCTCCCTCACTATTGCACAACCTTCACACTGGTCTCTGTGATTCCACCCTGGCCCTGCCCACATCATTCTCTACACAGTTTGTGAAGTACTCTAAAAATTAAAGGCAATGTAGAAGAAAAAAAAGTACTTAAACTTTGTTCCAAGTATACGATTGACATTATTAGTATTACTATTTATGTTAATTAGCATTATTATTATTTAAACTAAACATTACATAAACTAAAAATAATTAACCGTATTAACTCCCAAAATTTTAAGACTTAGCATAGAGTGTGATAAATTATTTGATGAAAGGGACTAAGTACCACATTTTATCCGACAGAACTTGGCACAATCCAGGCACCTGCTACCTTCACTTACTGGGGCCTATGCTGTGCCAGGTACTGTGGGCTGCTTCTGACAGTTACAATTTCAATCCCTCCTTACGTCAGGCTGTGAGACAGTTACCAGTAGCACCAACTTACAAATGAGGCTAAGTGTGTGAAAGAGCCAGTCCCTGGGCCCAGCCAGTAAGAGACAACAAAGCCAGAGTTCCAACTATATAAATCTGGCTTTGTTGTGCTGTTCTCTGAGGTAGTAGTTTTAAAGAAAAAAAAGTCAGAATTGGTATATATATTGCCATTAATTCTTCCTTGCACAACAAATCCTTTAACACCAGGCCTCAAATGTGACTCTCTTTCCTCAGGGCAGGTAAGTGTTGAGACCAGAATAAGCTCACAACGTAAAATGCACAACAAAACTACCCCCTAAAACACAGCCGCTAAAACCAGTTTTATCAGACATTAATTCCCAACTTTGTTACTGGCATTTATGTGCACTCCAGTGTTTCTAACCTCCCATAATCACTGGAAGAAATGAATGGGATAAACGTGTGTGGGTGTGCATAAATGTTTGTGGGCAGCAACTAGATTCTGTTTAACCTCCCAATAGATGGCAAGAAAATGTCATTGGAGAGCTGGATTGGAGACTCTTGCCAGAATGGTGATGGATTTACACTTCTACATTGCCTCATGTCATTCTTCTTACAATCAGTAGCAACATGTTCAAGACATCTGTTTGTGGCCTGGGGTGCATAAACCATGCAGAAAGATGAACTAATGCCTAGGGAAATTAAATTCCTAATACCTCGGATGACTTAGTATGGTGCTATACCCTATTGAACTAATCTACATCAAACACAAACAACCCATTCATTCTTTAGAAAATACTGCTCTCAACTTCTGCACTACTAATGTTTTGGCCAGATAATTCTTTTTTTTGAGGGGGTGTGGGGTTGTTCTGTGAATTAAGTTTAGTAGCAACCCAAGCCTTTACCCACTAGGTGTCAGTAGCATCCTCCAGTTATGACAACCAAAAATATCTCCAGATACTGCCCAATGCCTGTCCCCTGGAAGACAAAATCAGGTTGCTTCCCCACTGAGAACCACTACTCTAAACAAATAATAAAAGAAGGTCAAACAAAAATCAGGGTAATTTGACATTAGGCATAAAAAGCTCAAAAGACTTCACTGCTCATTATTAATTATTTAATGCAGAAGGTAAAATGTTTATTATTTAATGCTTATTATTATCATTTTTGTGAATAGTATATAAGAGTATGGGCATTACAAATCATTTTAATTACATTTCCTGGTTAGTACGAAATCAAACTACTGAAAATAATTAGCACTTAAAATTAATTATTTCTTTGTTCCATTTTCTAATGTTGGGTACTAGTAAAGATCACCAAATCACTAACTTAATTTGTCACAAAATAAAAAATAATCTATTCAATCAGTTTGCTACTTGTCTTAAATCGTACTCGAGTGTAAAATGATTTTGTGGAATGAATATATGCTGTTAAAAAGGGTTGCAGCAACCCAAAGGGAGCATGGAAGGACTTCTGGGGTTCTGGTTTTTGGTGTGCAATTGTTGAGTGTGTGAAAATTCATTACACTGAATACTTACAATGTGATATTTCCTGTATATTTTATACTTTTAACCATAAAAGTTTTCATTTTAAAGTTTTGTTATATTGTATAGCCCAGAAAATTTTTTTTTTTTAATGTTTCTTTTTGACAGAGACAGAGACAGAATGCGAGTGGGTTAGGGGCAGAGAGAGAGGGAGACACAGACTCCGAAGCAGGCTCCAAGCTCTGAGCTGTCAGCACAGAGCCTGACGCGGGGCTCAAACTCACGAGCTGTGAGATCATGACCTGAGCTGCAGTTGAATGCTCAACCAACTGAGCCACCCAGGTGCCCCCCAGAAAATGGTTTTTAAAAGTGCAT